CTGATTGTCAGTGAATTAACAGACTCCAATTTGCTTGTACAGCTCCCCAACCTTATCAGGCTGCCCCGGCCGCGATGTTAGCTGGATATAGCCGTCTGGAAGAGAAAAAATACCATCGACTCGTGCATGCAAAGAATGGCGTTTGTCGATATTGCAAGTTAACAGGAAACCGCTTTGAATGTGGACTGGTCAGGACTTCCTACTACAAATGTGAGGCATGTGAAGTTAATCTCTGCAGGGAAGCGACACGTGATTGCTTTGCCAAATACCACGAGCTGCAAAGAAGACAAAACAATGCAGATGTCATACTGACGTCATCAGTTGTCAATCGTGGTCAAAATAGTTAAAGTTTATTCAGTAGCTTTTTTTTTTGTATTTTTTCAATGTTATTACAATATCTTAAACATAGAATGAGCAGCAAAAAACCCCCAAAAGATGATTATTGTCACACATTTCTAAATGTATTCTTAATCCGTAATAAAATGGCGTAGTGAAATAACTTTCTTGTCTTTTTTACTACATTCCTGGATATTTTGTATTGCGGGATCAAGCTGGAGATTGCGATGTTGTTTAGGCTGCGATTTGTTCAAGCTTCTTTTCAAATTGATAAGTGATGATAGGACAGGCAGGTTGTTGTCGTTCATAGTTGTTTTCATATAGATGGCTACAATGGCAGAATTGGAAGTGCTTATTCCTAGTTATTTTGTTTTCTGTTCTATTATTAATTGTCAGGGGGAAAATATCATGTTGATCTTTGAAAGCTTTTGCTGGAAATCTCTGTATTGAACAAATAAGTAAAGACATGAATGATACAACAAGTGAAGCATTGAGGCCATTTTCTTTGTTGTAGAGCCACCAGCCTATGTCTCTTTATCCGAGGAAGGAGCGGCAATGATACAAGACTCCTATGTTTCACGAAAGGAAGACGTGTTCAGGTTTATAGAAGTTCGCCATGAATGTAATGTTGTGCATGAGATAACCCTGAACTCTGGGGGTCGACCTAAAGTGTGTGTCCACTGTAAAATTGCCGACACCAGATACCCAAGTGGAGAGACGCTCAAGTCTAAGTACATGTGTTCTATATGTGAAGTATCTCTGTGCAGAAGTCGAAAGAGGAACTGCTTCGACAAATACCATGCGACAGTGTACAAAACGTCACATAAATAGTGTTTTCCTTCTAAGCAATATTCCGTTTAAGTAACGCAGTGTGTTCATTGTTTAATATTGTAACGTGACAATGTTACAACGTGACAATATTATTGGATGTTATATGGATGTTAAATGTTCACTTCAGTGTATATTTTTGGTGGAAAGGGGGGCTTCTGATTAGTCTTGGGCACATTTTTTGATTTTGTTTGTGTTATTAAATAAAGATAAACGTTGAAGTTTAACAAATTAGTTTCTTTTCCCTATGAATCTTTAGTTAAAGAATTTAAAAATGCAAATACACCATTTAGATATATAATACCAATTGCTCGTGAACTCAGTGCCTGAGGAACGGTTCCTTCAATGTAATACTCTCACCATGTAAGTGACGAATTATCTTCATCTGGAGTGTTTTTGTTCCAGAATCAGCTGGTGGAGCAGGAGCTCACTGGAGACCAGTCCGGATTTTAGACTACGTCCCTGAGTTACGGAAGGACGGTCAGACAGTGAACCATACGCTAGTGGAGGGCGATAAACGCAGAGTGTGTCAGTTCTGTAAACATTCTGGTCAGCGATTTAAATGTGGAGAGACCCGGAAATCTTTCTACAAGTGTAGTGTGTGTAATGTGTTCCTCTGTAAGAAAGGGTGTTTCAGACAGTACCACGATTTGACGCTTGGTGAAGTTCCGGATAGTTAGATAGGATTCTGGTTAGTGTCAAGTGGAGAGAATTCTATTGGTGGGCTGTTGGATCTGTTCTTACAGAATTTCACATGGTGTTTCATGTTTGTCTGATCATCAATGAAATTTAAAAAAATGCACAAAAAATATACAGAATTGATCAGTTGAAGGATTGGACGGAAAGCGATAGAAACTCATGTAGACGTCCCAATCCCTAATCTTCACGATGAAATGTTATTTAAGAATATAATTTAATTCTAGCAGAGACTATGTTTCGGAACATTATATCATTGTTTTTACAGGATCACCAACGAAGACTTCATCGTCCTTCAGCGTAGCGGAAACTGACTCGAGGTTATCCAACCTGCCTCGCTCTCAGTATCCAATGGAAACAAGTCAGTACCGCCAGATTGAACCAGACCCACGATTCAGAAATATCTCCATTATGCCAGAAAATTCGGGGAGGGTGTTAGAAATGGAGTGCAATGGCGTGATGCATACACTTGTACGTTTAAATATGACTCAAAACCGAACCTGTGGATTCTGTAGTGCTATGCGAAATGTGACTAAGGCTGGATTTGCTAAAAAGTCATACTTCGAATGCAACGTGTGTCGAATTCCTCTCTGCCGAAATGAATCTCGATGTTTTTTCAAATATCATGAAATCCTGAAAAAGCATCGTCTACAGGGTCCCATTTCGAAAGCAGAATTTAAGCTGTTTACTGCTTTATGTAATTCCTTCAATAAATGACAGTGAATTTGTATTCTTGTCCAGAGATGTTTGCATATTGTTCTCTCTATTAGATGTCCAGCTCTTTCATTTGTAAATGTTATTTTGAATAAAAGTTTATTTTCTTCAATTTCTTATTTTACTGTTTTGTTGTTGAATAGGCGTAGATGTGTATTAGAAAAAGATAAATCGACAAAAGTTCGATTTCTACAATTGATGGGTTTGACTTTTAAAGTGAATTTCAGTTTAAAAAGGTTGTTTAAATTTTACCAGCTTTCTTGTTTTACTGCTCACTTGAGGTGATGAACGTCTCTTCGATGTGGTGTTGATTTAGTTCATATTCCATTTATTTTACTGTGTAATGTTCGGCTAAAGTGCTTTTGCCGGATTATTGATATACAGAAGAAATTAACAGCCTTTTCTTAATTGCAGAACCATATACAGGACATGCGTATGAGAATACCTTGTCAATGCGTCCTCCTGGGACCGTACAAGCTATGAACCGAACACCAGCTGGGGAACATCGTCTTCTTAAAATGGATGGTAACAAACTGAAGCGATGTTTTTACTGTCAAATGGCCAAGGTCCGCACTCGATCTGGGTACCGAGTGAAGACGTCTAGTCATTGCGTGGCCTGTGAAATTCCTCTATGTGCGGGGTCTGCAAAGTGCTTTGAATTGTACCATGAGCTGTTGAAATCAAGTAAACAGTACGGGGGCGTGTCAGGATTTAATGGCTGAAAGTTATGTTCTTCAGACAACATCGGAAACATGAAATGTACGATTTTATTTTCTTCTTGCAAGAGTTTAAAGTATTGGTGGCGTTATTTTTTATATAAGGATGTTTATAAGGACTAAACGAACATACTTCATACGTGTCTCTTTCAATGCAGTAAATATATGACAATATATCTCCTGTATTTTGAGCAGGATCTACAGGAGCCAGCGTATAAAAGTGAGCGGTATTGTTAGTTTCGTTGAATGCTCTTGTTTTCTCAATATTTTGCTGATCCCATTTCAGTTAGTGTTATGGTGGCTGGGTATTGCTCTTGTATGTTGTAAAATTAAGGAGTAGTAGTGCAATACAAAGACATATCAACATTTGACCTGTATTTTCAGATCTCAGACAACCCGCGATTACATCAATGTTTCCAAAACCTCGCCGCAACCCGCCAGTGGATGTCCCCCATCGCCTAGTTACCGGTTCCAGGAAGCGTTGCGCAATGTGCTACTACAACAAAGTGAAGACGAAGTCTGGATGGGATATCTACACTAACTACAAATGTGAAGCATGCGATGTTGCTTTGTGTAACAGGGACTCGACGCAGTGTTTCAAGTGTTTTCATGATGGCATCAAATTGCACTATGCCTTTGTAAATGTGGACATGTGACGATTGCGATAGGGCTTATTTGAATGGAATTATCTTGATTTTATTGATGTGTTTCTTCAAATGATGAGGAAAAATGCAAGAGGCACTGAAGTTCTTGATATAGGTCTCTTAGTAGAATATTGTTTTGTTTTCATATTTGTATCAGTGCATAGTGGAATACATACATTGAAATCGATGTGCACTACTTCAATAGGTCAGCTTTTTAGTAGATATGTAGACTTGGCATATTGGTGTTCGTATCATTAAAATGTTATAAAATATGTAGCGTTGTTTTTATTGTGTTTAGTTTTATGCTTTTGGTATTTTACAGAGCATCGTTCGCCTGTACCAGGATCATACAATCTCGATATAAAGACCCGTGTCCCAGTACCCCCCTCTTTTATTGTCCACACGAGCAAAGGAAGTCAGGTGCACATTGCCGAGAGGTACGAGGGGAGGAACTATAAGAAATCGTGCCACTATTGCCGGGCTATTGGTGTCACCACCAACAGCGGACACACGGTGGAAACTCAATGGAAATGCGAACAGTGTGGGATAGCACTTTGTATCAACAAAAGAAACTGCTTCATTCTCTTTCATGAAGGATTGGTCAAAGAGAGTGACATACTTAACGATGTATAATGCAGTTATTGCATAAAACGGTATTTTTGAATGAGAGACGGTAGAAACAAATCTCATCTGTGTTAACATGGAATGAAATCGAATTTTGAACGGATGATCAGTATGGTGTTGGAGAATGACTTGGAATTTATCATATTTCGATTAGAAGTGGTGTTCTTGAATTTGGAGGCTAGATATTATGGCAAAATTAAATTTGAAAATAGTCCCTCATTTTACTGTTTGTAAAATTTGACTTTGCAAAGGGTTTATCCTCGAGGTGGAAGCATTTTCAACGTGTAGTTTTATACGGAACTGGTCGAAAATTTATCTTAGCGTGTTGCCCCTTTTGATCACACGAAGCATGCTTATTTATTTGGGAATTGTATATAAATGAATGAAGTTAATGTAAAATCATAATCTGATAATATTGTCAACTGTTTGTATATACTTCCAGAGAATGTGACAATAAATTGTGAGAGCATTGAACAAGATATAGTGCTGAGGGGCCATCACTTGCCAGGTGTCGTAAACATTGACGGAGTATCACATCGCGCCGTTAAAATAAGCAGAGAGGAAATCCCCTGTGGACGAAGGAGGTGTCATTTTTGTAAAATAACAAAACGAAAAACGGAACGAGGATGCAAGATTGAGACTTACTTCAAATGTAACGTGTGTCACGTCGCACTGTGCAATTCTACGACACGGAACTGCTTTATGGAGTTTCATAAACAGTTTTATGGTTCAGTGAAATAAGTCTTCTTTAATGTTTTCTGTATAGACATTGTGAATGCCTGTGATGTTTTGTTTACATTTGATGACATGAAACTGGGTGGTTCAGATTGAAAGTGTCTTTTAACAGTTATACTAATGAAGTACTCTTGATTACTTATACTTCTGCTTTGTATCTTTATAATTTTAATAAAATGCTTTCAAGAATGTTTTAAAAATTACGATATTGGTGAGTGATAGGAGTTAACGCATTATCAGGATTATGTAAAAGATATGCATGAACTTAAGTCATTTATCAACATTTGTACCATAACTACGAACACATTTTGAGATAAAAATGGGGAACTGACAACAGATTTCAGCTCATAAACTCGTTGTCATGGACCACTCAATACGCTATTATAAACTTACTCCACATTAATGACGGACAGCGTAACGCTTTCTTGAGCGAAGTAGAAAAGAAGCGATTTGCTGCCAAAAGTGCTTGAAGGGTACAGAATCTCTTGTTCTTTGTTTTGTGATGATGAACACAAATCTATATTGAAAATAACTGAGGCGAGACTAGTTAGTTCACCTGAGCCAAAGGCCTCAGCCTCCTCGGATCATATGACGGTATACGGCATACCATCACAGATAATGTTACATGGCATATACTGTAATGGGGAAAACATGACCATACGTAATAGACACCTGCATGTAGTGTAGTTTAGAAGAAAGTACTGTATATTGATAATGATGGAGTAACAACTGATGTATTTTAATGGTTTTATTAACGTATTGTCTAGTTTTACATGTAAATAAATTTATTTTCTGTCTTCTTTCTAGTACATTGAATTGTTTTTATATTTCACAGATACTCGGCATTTGAATGCCTTTGAGTCATGTCATGTATTGTATCAGAATATTTTGTAGGTCTTTGGGTTAACTCTCTTCTTGTTATGTTATTCTGGTTGTTAAATTGTTTGTTGGTACAGTTATGCAGAAATTATAAATATAATGACCATGAACAAGAATAAGTAAATTGTACAAAAAACGTACTGAGGATAGAACAACCCAGTCGTATTAGAAGTACAAGAACAGAGTGTAAGTGAAAATCCTTAAGCCATGCACACAAAACGATGGTAGCATCAAATTCAGTTGAAAGAAATAAAATGTTACTAGCTTGGTACATAGAAGCGCATGAAGAAATAATATCATAATAAAAGTTGTTAAAGTTACACAAACCACTCTGTCGTGAAAGACATTCCAAGTACACGTTTAAATCGAGTTTAATTCTGCCAGGTGGGAGTAAAAAAGGTTGGAAAACACGTAGGAATTTCGACCTGATAATATCTAGCAGAAAAGATATGAACAAGCAAAGTGCTTCTGAATTAATGGTAGGAAAAATGGATTGTTATTTTTCAAAACTTAAATGCTTAGGGTAAATTCAGGGTTTCATTCACGTACAATCAAGCTGAAAAGAGTCATGCTTATTTTTTAATGTCATATATAGCAATACAATATCAAATAATTACAAGGACAACGCAAAGCGGAGTATTCCCTCCCAAAAATTAAAGGCAGCCTTCGACATCAATCCCGATGCAGATAACGTCACTTCCTTTATGCACAAAGGAGACCCCGCCCCCTACACACACAAGCGTTACTATATCCATCCGAACTCTATGGACAAAGAAAAGAATTGGATTTTGATTATTGGTGTCTGTTTAGTTTTACTGATGTGGGAATAATTTAATTTTGTTTCTATTCTAGTCTCTCATTGGTTGATTTCCAAAAAAGAACGTAAACCATTTCTTGATAACCTGGTTTGGTATGGGGACACACACCCTTGACAACCAGCTGATTCATCTATATCTATGCAATCCCCACATTTCCAGTCCATGGGATTACATGGAAAATTCCAGATTTAATAAATGTACCTTTAACTTCAAACAGTAGCTCGATCTTACCTCGTGTAAACAAACATCATGGCTGCTAGATCTGTGTATCAGTTATTACCTCCCCTTGTTTCAAATAACTTCCATTACTAGGGATGTATTATTGAGCGGCAAATTTGAACTCATAAAAAGCAATACAAATTTTACACCCACAGTTGTTTATTTATTTTTAAAATTAAATTATAAGGAATGACTCTAATTCTTGGCCAAATTATTCGATGATAACCTGGTTTTGGTCAGTTTACGTTTTTTAGGCGGGCTTATTGCTCAAAGAGCAATTGCCGGCTTATGCGATCCTGTTCAAGGCAGGATGTTGACCCCATAGTCGCCATTTTAAAGTTACGTGCAAAAATATAGTTCTTACTCTCAACCGCTTTTGAGATAAAACAGACGCTATATAAAGCAACAAAAATAAAACGAAGTTTTATCTAATAAAATAAACATTAGTAGTAATGACTTTGAAAACTTCGTAACTCAAAGAACATCAAAGTTCATCAGCGTAAGGATAATCGGTTTTACCGTAGTTCTCTACACATACGAGGTAAAGCAGAAGAGGGAACCAGACTGGCCTGTTTGTTTACATTCAGCTGCGGTACCAGATTAATTCTGATTCTGACAAAATCGGACCGTGGTATTAGGATTGAAAAACTCACTGTCAGTGTCTTATCATTTATATTGATAGTTTTAAAATATTTTTTCATCAGAATATAAACGTGATTCATGTAAGAAATCCATTCTACTCTGTAAATGAGCCCGGCTCTCTGTACTTCTGAGTACTTTGATTTATAATCCGCTTCGCGGATTACAAAGCGTAAACTGACCCAAACCAGGTTATCATCGAATAATTTGGAAGAAGTAGAGTCATTCCTTAAATGATTTGTATGCATTTTGTTTTGAATCGTAATTCACGATGAAGAGTCTGTATAATACCAAGCAGGAGAATTGCTCCCTCGGCTTATTTTAGAAATCACTTAAAGAAGTGGTTATTTTTCACATGATTTTCAGAGGTTATGGGACGGAGTGTCTTAAGCACGGAGCTACCACTAATGCTACGTATACATTACAGTTTGATGAAAGAATTACATCATAAGTGGTTGAAAATGGCAACTATTAATGCAACAAGTTATATTTCAACGCTTAATGATATTTCTATCATTTAGCGGCGTTTTATGGTTATCTGTTGCTATAAAGCACTGTTCTTCACTGCACCAACTCGATGCTTCAAATTCCTGTGTAAATTATCTTGATGTTGGATTGTATGCCGTTGACAGTCTTTTTCCCGAATGTTCATGTTTGCTCTGCTCCCATTTTGTTTGAGCTCGATCCGTAATCGTCATCTTCTTACTATACCTCTGTTACAATACATATTTTGGTGTATAATAAGAGGGATGAGAAGAAAAAAAAGAAGTTTGTTTTAAGATGTCTTTATGTTGTCCGGGAAAAGGGATATAATTTGCTTTACATTTTGTGAGTTGCACACACTGCTTTTTTTCAACTTTCTTCGTAAACTTTGTAAAATTAAATCTACTTCTTTTGACTTGTAGAGGATCGCCCTGCTCCAAAATCTTACAATGTGAAATACAGACTGAGAAACCCACCTCCGCCTACATATATGGTTGGAAACCACTTGCACACGGCGGAGAGGCTTCATGACAGACGGAGAAGAGTTTGTCAGCACTGTCGTATGACCGGAGTCACCACCAGCAGTGGGCATGGGGTCGAAACCAGCTGGTTTTGTTCAACCTGTGATATGCCACTCTGTGTCAACCATAGGAATTGCTGGAACAATTTTCACGAAAAACTCAATATTCAGTAACTGCTCAGAAAAAGAAGAACGATAAAAGATGTAATTAATTTCGTGATTTTTTTCAGTATTGTTTTATAAATCCTTTTGCGAAATCGGGGGTTCGATCGATCAGTGAAAAGGCAACGCATTAAACACAAGTCTTCCTCGAAAAAAATCCAAGAACTTATTGTATATTTGCATGAATGATAATATTCTTAATCTTATGTATGGAATAACAGATATATATACTTTAATCTTTCTTGAAAGATTCGAGTTTTACCTCCAATGTTTTGTGAATCTTTTAGTTAAAAAACAATTCAATATTAAGTGTTAATTAAGAAATTTTCATTTCAGGCCATCCCCTCTCCCTTTTTTAAAACAAAGCTCTGGTATTTTACGACTTCTGAGATTTTGGTTTGGTCATTACTGTAAAAAATGTACAATGTATCTTATGTATTTATTTAGTGGCATGAATTCAGCGATTGTCTAAGCATGCTATACTTCTCATTCGTACACATGCATTTAAGGAGTCTATCTAAATCAGTATTTTTATACACTTTCAGTGGTTGATGAGAACATGCTGTCTGGTGACCCAGCGTATTTGATGTATGAAATCCCTGTTGCTTCTGAAGAACAGATTAATTCTTCTAAAATTCCCAACGAAGGAAGCACAAATGATATTGTATGGAACACAAATGATTGCGAGTGGAAAATAACATCAGCTTACACGCTGAGTCAACCTACTGTCCTTGAGAATAATGCAGAAAATGGTTATAAAGTGGTAGACATGGTAGACGTGGTAGAGAAAGCTGTATCTGCCGCATATAAGACAAAACCTGAGAAAATTCGGTCCAAAAGCAAGGAAATAAAATCGATCAGAAAACCACAAAATGATACTGTGAAAAGGTCAGTTTCTGATAAAGCGCGCAGAGATGTCAGTCTTAAGACACAGAAAGGAGCAACAAAGGTATCACAAACAATTTCTTCAAATCAAGCTAAAAGTGTTCAAATGCAGCATAAAAAAGCGCAGCTAAAGGTTGACAAAATAAAGGGCGTTTGTACGAAAGGAAATGCAGCATCTTCTACAATTTCAGAGAGGCGAATGTTAAAAACATCAATAAATAATTCAGAAAAAATGAAATTACAAGATGAAACAGTTAGGCCAAAAATTCGACAAGGTTTATACCGTTATGACTTCAGAACTTTCAAACGAAATGGAAAACGAAGTACTAAAAGAAAAGAAAGTATGCCCATGTCTTCTCACTATAGAATAAGCAAGATGAACCAACCAAGTTCCGTACAAACAGGGAAAAGCAAGCCTAAAACCATTGATTTGAACACGCAACTTGTTCAGTCTGATTCCAATGTCGAACTTGTTCAGCGTCAGTTAAACACCAAAGATGTTCAGACAGATTTCGATGAAAATGAAAGCACAGTATCAGAACCTGCCATTAATGAGACCATGAAAACAGCACAAACAAATAAATATGAAACAACAAAGCCAAAGATAGGAATACAGATTGCTTATCCCTCGCATTGTTTGTCGTACCAAGAAAGGAAAGGGAAGTGTACATATTGCCTAAACAACCCAGACACAGAAACGAAAATTGAACCTATCAACACAAAGTGCAAAATCTGTAATGTCTACCTCTGTAAAAGTATCTGGAGGAAAGGTGGACGATCTTGCTTTGAACGGTACCATAAGGAAAGAGCAAAGATTATCACTGAGTCGGTGGTAGGTCATCCTCCGAACAAAGAGGAGATCAAGTCTACTCACTACCCTGTGAATATAAGTATTCAAGAGGATAGTAGAAGGAAAAAGGTCTGTGAAATCTGCTATGCAGAAAAAATGGACCGAAAGACAGAAGGATCCACCCTCACTGGTTACAAATGCAGCATCTGTACTGTGGGGTTATGTGCTAGGCACAAAGACTGCTTTCAGATATATCATAACAATCTTTTTGAGATGGACCAAGGTTCCTGAAAGCTTTGACTAGAAACTTTGAATCTTTTCCTTTAAAAGTACAATTGTACTTCCAATCACTATCAACCAGTTGTGATGTCTGTACAGTTGGAACTTGTGCTGGGATAAATT